CGTGAGCCGGTGAGTAAGTAGCCAGTTGGGCCCTGAGTAAGGCCCTGGACCTTTTGCCCAGCTGCGAAGATCACAAAACGATAGCAATCTCGGTTACCAGGGTCTCCTTTTTTGAATAGCGGCCAGTATAGGGGGTTACCAGGGTCTTCCTTTCCATTTAATGGGCCCCGTGGCCCGAAGGAATATTTTGGTGATAAGTGGGAAGACCAGACCAGCAATGGGCTGATAAAGTTTGGCCACCATAGTACCCGTGATACCGTCTGGGCCCGCTGCAGCGCGCCCGGTGACCTTACACGAACGTTCAAATTGCGCAAGGGTGGGGGGATCCTCGACTGCGAAAACCAAATCCTTGAAGTGCTGCTCTGGAAATTGTGCCTCGAACCATGCGAGGTCTTCTTTGAGCATGACCGCTCCCGCCTCGTTGGCAGCAAAGTGTTGGGTCCACGTGTGAGCGACATCTCCTTCAGCTTCAATGGGTCTGCCATCGAAACCTTTGAGGATAGGGGGGGGGGGGGGGGAACTGCGGGCCTTCTTGCGAGAGCAAGCACCTATTCGCTTAAGTCTGGCAAAAGCTTCAGCGTGATCGTGAACTGGCCACGCACTGGAAATCTCACCTGCAATATTTGCATAATGCTGGGCGGCATCGTTGCGCACCTGCATGTTCACAAGCTTCGTGGATAATCTAATAGCCATTAACCTGCGTGCATATGTAAAATTCCGAGATTCGCATAAGACGGCGTAGCCAAGACTGGACTCCGTGAGGACGTTGGAGACCCAATAGAATCCAAGAGGTTCCCGAAGGCAACTGCAGAGACTTTGATTTGGCGCCGATAATGAGCCACACCCCTGGGACCTTGACTTTTTCCATGGTAAGATCATGCATGATGTCTTGCATGTGTTGCCATCTGATATGAGCCCAACTGAACGATTTGAGGATGTGGCGAGCCCAGCAGGCCTTGGAGGCTTTGAGGGACCTCATGCTATGAGTGTGGGTGTGTCTTGACGTACTCCACCAAGACTCGCAAGTAGGGGCAGCCCACACTCGGAAACATATAGCCAAAGAACTGCGATCCCAGAAATATGTCATTCGTCTGCAACGTCTCAGTAATAATGTACGCTGGTCCATGGCTTGCAAAGAAGATTGTGAAAGCCATGCCCGCCTTTGCGCGCGTGCTCGTGAGGTGGGCTGCGCTGGGAAAAAAAATGGAATAGACTGATGCAGAAAATCAGTGATAGCTGCGCAGTGGTCATTGGGATGCACCGCGAACTCAATCCGAGGTGCACATTCGCGGACATGCGCGGCAAATGCTGCTGCAGCTTCTGGATCAGTGAAAGCCTCTGGATTGCACTTGATCTTGGAATAGTACTGAGGAGCGCGAAACTTCGGAGCAGAGAGAGGAAACTGGAGCACCGCTCCGACAGCTTTATGGTCGACAATGTTGATAGATAAGTCGATTTCGTGTTGAACCGATGCTCCGTGCACGTGTATGTTAGCTGAACAAGCTATGTGGTCAATGCGTTTTTTTTTTCTCTGCTCTCTGGTCGTTAGGCGAATGCCAAGTGACGCCTGCGCCATCAGATTGGATGAAGGTGGAGGGGGGCCAGAGTTGCCGATCACGTAACACGTTATGGAAAACTTCCCCAGGATAGTTTTGTGATTCAGCCTGAACCGCTCCAATAGCCTCGGAAACCACGGGCCCAACCCTGGCGTTGGCGCCGAGGAGGAAAAGCTCGGGAATCGAACTGTCAAGTAAAGCTGAAAACTGACTGGATGCATCATTCCACCATTTCCGAATGTTCTTTGCCTGATGCACTGTGTGGAGCATGGCCTACCACAACGTTGAGACTGAAGTTGCCCTTCCTGATGGCAACTATGAGCAAGCGGGGAGTAGCATGTAGAACGCGGCAATCACGAAGAGAGAGCCTTTCTGCTTCGTGAAACACAGCACGCTTGTGTATCCATAAAGAGCAGCCATACCTCGGAAATTTGTCTGCTCCAGCATGTAAAACAATATATTTGCCCACTTGTGAGTGCCCGTCCCTGGGAAAACGAGTCTCGACCGTGCCTGCAAGAACTATTTTGTGCTGCGCGAACATCATGTGGCCCAGATGGGCCATACGACCAGGAAGGAAGAGCCCACTTGTTTTTTTGAACCGGCCCGCCCTGGGATTCAAGGTCAAGACGTTGGCTGTTAACACTTTGAGGCTCTTTGTATAGGACTGCCACGAGGTACCCTTGTTGAGTCCTTCGGGTTCTTGGCTTGGAGCAATCCCAGAAAGCCCAAGAGTGGGGTCCATAGACCGTGGTAACTGCATGCCATAGCTGGGTGGGTACTGGCTGCGATCCGGTATGTGGGTAATGGTGTGTAACCACACCCAAGCAAGCTCCGCCTGCGTCGGTCATGGCGATCGCCATTCCGTGGGCGGATGAGCGAAATTGCGCAAGGAAAGCGAAGCGATCGCTCATTCCACGGATGAGCTGAGTGTCCTGGCACATGCTGAGATATGAAACCACGGCTAGACATACGAAGGATACGGGCGAGGGCATCCAGTAGGGCTCTTTCCTGAGCATGTTTCCCTTGGGCGCTCCCACCTTTAACAATGGCCAAGACCTCCATATTGTCCCCAAATTGAGAAACTTCCAGACTGCCCAAGACATCCACTCATAGTTGAATAATCCAAGCCAAGGCCCATTGGGCCGCGTAGAGCTCACCGAGAAACGAGTAATGCTCAGGATTGTGGTCCCCTGGGACGCACACGTTAGCCGCGAATCCCATCAGAGCAGTAACTCCCGAGACATCCGTAACCAGAACCACGAATGCCCAACTAGGAAGTCCAGGAACAGATGTGTTGCTGGAGTCGCGTCGGTGGGATTGACAGCCGCCAGAGCCGTCCACGTAGACTTGTATGCTCCTCCATGAAGACAAGTCCTCAAGTGAAGATAAAGTAGGCATGGCCTGGACCGTGGAAGAGTGCAGAAAAGAACAGATGCTGAGAAGGTCCCTGGATAGCTGAAAATCCCATGGAGAAAACAGCCTGCTGAGAAACTCAGTGCTGTCAGGCAAGGGACTATACCTGCAACCTTTGATGGGTTCCACCGAATCTGAAATAGGTGTACCTGGCGCTGGAGCCAGCTGGGGCTGGGAAAGGTTGATATCCCTGACGTCCTGAATGTAGTCGTCATCGCACCATCTGGCTAATGACCCCCCATCACCGTAGCTTCTGCTGGTGTGGCTGGCGTGTCGTCGGCGATGGCCTGAGACTTGTGGGGTGGTTCGTCTTCGTGAAGATCTGCTGCCATGCGAGCTGATCCTTTTTTGCTGCGCCTGCTGGAACACGTTGGATAACTTCTGCTGACCAGGCATACTTCCCGCTGCATGCTGCCATGCTGGAGACTTGGTTCTCCCAGGGGCTGCTCCCGTGCTTGAACGTAGTGCTGCCAGTTCTGCGGGGCTGAGATCGGGTAAGCTGTCTCCAGCTGAGCTGTTGGAGCCTGCGCGAGCCGCAGTGGCCTTTTGCAGCATAGCCTCCTGTGCAGAGCGTGGAGACTGCGACGGCGCTGCAACTGACGGGGAACTGGCCGTGGTCAACGTAGTCAATGACTGTTGAATTGACATGAGAGCCTGGCTGAGCATATCCATTTGTGATGCGAGCTGCGCCGGACCCGACTGCAACTCGGCAGTGATCCTGGGCACCGCAACGGGCTGGCCAGAAGCTGGAGAAGAGGGCGTGGCCGTGGGCGAACGAGTATTCGGGGTAGATGTGGCCACGCCTGAGTCGACCTCCATGCTGTCGGCGGCAAAATGAAATCCTTTGGGCATGCTTAGTGTAGACAATGCACGTGTTGCTGCCGCTGCTGCTGCTGCTGCCGCCTCTGCCGACTGCTCCTCCTGTAATTGAAGGGCCTCGAAGTGGCTTAGAATCTGTTGCGCGTGCTCGGCGTCTGCTTGAAGTGCCTCTCTGGCAGCAGTCGCTTTGGTCATAGCTAACTTCGTTTCCTCCTCTGCCATACGTGCGTCTGCCAATCTCTTCTGCGCTCTCTCCAAATATTTCTCTTGGTTGCCAACACGATCGCGGGCTGAGAAAGCATGGATGTGCATGTACATGTACACTGCATACTCGAGTTCCAGAGGTTGAAGCATCTCTGAAGTGGCTGCCAAGGCTTTTTTGCGGATGAGCTGTGTCTCCAAGGCCGAGAGGGTGGCTTTGATTTGTCCCCGGTGTTCGGCAAGCTCCTTGGTGCCAGTCGGCGGGTCCACCCAGCTGGGGTGGGCCTTGGCGACCTCTGGAGTCGCTGGCAGGATGGTAAGAGAAATTGGCTGAGAGGCTACTGGTGGCGTAGAGGGTGCTCGACCGCTGCCTGCACTGGGGGGGGGTAGCATCTGAGTGAGACTGGCCTGCTCTCGACGCCGACGATGACCTCTGTCTGTGCGGCAATGAGCGTCCTCTGTGGCGACCCCGTGGCATAGGGAAGCAGCGCGTACACCAACGAGAGGATGACCAGTTGGAAGAGCCGCATTGTCCGCAGGTCCAATTGCCTCCCCTGGGCGTCGACCATGGTGGAACACTGGCTGGAGGGTCTGCTGGCATGGCGCTGTGATGAGCTGAAATCAATGTCCGCGCTGCACTGACCCTGAGTAATGTACGGGCTTGGCTGCGGGCCGCCCTGGCCCTGCGATGCCAAGCTGGCTCGGGTGAACGTAGTGACCGAATGCTGACCGCGAGGCGCCGCCTGGCGCCCTGCGGCTGGGGCTGCAAACGCTCGCTGGAGCGTCGCTGCCCGCGACGACGCACGGCCAGCCCGCTGTCAATGGCGGCGGCGGCCCTGCACGTGGCCGATGTCCCGAGGGGCGCGCAGCTACTGGGTAGCTGCACCCAAGGCCCCTGAGCCGGGACGGCGGCTGGAGGAGGGAGGAGGGAGGAGGGAGGAGGAGGGAGGAGGTGGAGGTGGAACGAGGCAGGAGGATTCGAAGAAGTGAAATCACAGATGTGGCGGCCAG